CGGGCCAGTTGACTATGGAAACAGTGATGGAAAGCCAGGTTACAAGCGTGTGTAAATGTGTGTGTGCTACTCTTTCATTTATGTTCTTAGGCACCAGAAGTCAAATGTAAAAACAACAAAGCCACACGAAGATCCAAGACCAGATCGAGGATCAGCAGGATATATATAGGCAGCAGCCTTAAAAGGGAAGTTGACCGAGTCCAGAGGAAACACTGAGACAACAGCCAGTGTCGTATGGCTCGACAGAGCTACTAATGTTGCACCGTCATACTCTTCATTGGTGTTTCCTCCAGAGCCAAACACCTCATCATGCATCGACTGTTTAAACCTCAGCACCTAAGTTGTTATTATCATCTTATCTTTAGCTGTGTTTTCCATAGGTGTCAAAGCATGACGTCCAACCAACGACGGTCACATTCAAGTTAATGATATAAATATAAAGAGTAAAAGTTCAAAAGGCAAAAATACTTCATATGGACATGGTTTGTTGCTCCCCACAAGGAAATACTTTTATCGCTTTTCCACAAACTCAGGAAGTTCAGAGGTCAGGGTCAGTGACAGAGGTGAACCCCTGCAGCTGAAGTGGACTCAGGGTCTCACTAGGGGCTATTCCTGCAGGGCAAATGCGTGTCAGATGGACACTAAGCCCCGGTCAACCAGTGAAAATATGGTTTTCTAGACCTTGAGGTCGTGGGTTTCTGAATGAGGGGTCGTGGTCTTTCCCTGAGAGTCACAGTGAAAGGAAGTGGGACGATGTAGAAACATGAATGAACGTAGCAGCTCTCCTTCACTTGAGTTAAGGGGAGTTTTTTTTCTTATCAGTATGACTGGACCACCTCTGAGATAAAACCTCATTGATGGGGCTCTTCGGTTGTTTGGAGGACTGTATATTATCATGGAGCTTCAAAATGTAGAAACCATTTTTTGGATTAAAGGAGTAGTATGAAAGAAATAGCTTTGGTTACCTTTAAGCTGCTTAATACAGTGTTTTGAACATCTTCACAACTTTACCTCATGCATATATCATTTTATAACCTCTGCTGCTGATTATTCATAACGCACTTTGGCATGAATTAAACCTTGCATTCCGTTGCCTTGCACCTATCACGTGTCTGATGACATTTAAATGTAATGTAATATTATCTAATCTAGCGTAATCTAATCCAGTGTAATGGATTCTTTTGTGTTGGACGTGCACTCTGAATCTTGATCCTTTAAGTCCTCTTAACCACTTCTTGAGGAAATGTAAACCAAAGCTTTAATTGCCATGTAATTTTTATACTTCATACTGGTACATTCACTTCTCTCCTGTACTTTACCACGGAAGTAACTGGGTAACTGTACATAAACAATGACAATGGGTTGAGTTTAGTTACAAGAATCCGTCAAGCACCTTAAGTCCTGTCCCTTGTTGCTGCAGCAGCAGCGGTAGCAGCAGCAGCAGCAGCATATTTGGCCCCTGTTTTGTTAATACTGCAGAAAGTTTTTCAAGCCCTCCGCTGGCTCTAAGTGAATTGGGTCTAATGTATCCTATTATGGTGCAATGAGGACAGGCCAAAGTCATCAAGCTCTTTATTTTGATGGATGTGGACACACAGACTCACACAACCACATGTACATNTCTTACCACACACCTTTCCTGAATCCAAAGCACACAAACACACCTCCTGAGCAGGCAGGCAGCGAGGAAGGAAGTCAATATTTGAGGAGCTGAAGCTACCTGGCCTCACGGTCAGGCTCCGCCTTTTCTGCTGCAGGCAAACTATAGGTTTCTACAATGCAGCTCTTAGCTCCCCGGTCTAAGGTGTTCCAGTGTTTTCAAGGCTTCAGCTCGCGCACAAATATTTTTATATTTTTAAACAGAGCTTTCAACAGATTAACTGTTTCATTGGTCTACTGCGCTTAGCCGAGTACAAACGAGAGGCTGTTGGTAAAACGGGTCTTGTGTTAGTGCATTAGCTAGCAGCAAGTAAGATGGCTAACAACTTCAGTCTTTTGTCTGTTTTGCATTATCTACATATGTTATTGGTTAACAAATAGTACAAGAACATCGTACTTTGAACGATGTTTATATGTTCGTTAAATGGATGTATAGATCTTCACTGAAATATATGTTTTCAAAAGCAAATGGTCATCACACAATTGTAACTAAAGCAACGAATAATAAAGCGAAGCTGTGGTCATTTTATCAAAGTGTTCAACTTTTTCATGATACATCATAAAACCAGTCCACGTTCTGTGGTTTTAAGAGAAGACACTAAGCTAATGTGGAACACAGGTGTATTTGGAAAAACTTTCCAAATAGAAACAAAGTACTGTGTACGTAGCTGAAGGCAGTAAATCATTTTTCTCTAATGCAAATCTCCATGCTCTCAGAGGATGAATAATTTAGCCTAGCCACTGGAATAAAGTCATTCATTCACTTAGCCTCAACATTATTTGTTCTTTTCTGGATCTTTTTGATTCCTAACTGGGAGGAACATCCTCACAGCCAAACTAGGCTTTTGTGCTCACAGCCAGAAGGTAAAATCCGACTTCTAAATCTTCCTTGACAACACAAATATTTAAAGGAAGCAAGTGAGGGGAGGTTACTAAGTAACAAGCAGAAACTGTAAAGAAAAAGGAGTTTCTCTGGGTTTTCAAATAAAGTTATTCTGAACAGTTATCACATTATTTATATGAATCATCTTCTAAACTACATAGCCAGGACACAGCATTACCACCTCAGCAAATGCACAGTGAACCAATGGGTATCAAAAAACCCAAGGTTTACTCCATATCATTCTGTCCACAAAATTTGGTTAGTTGTACATTTGTTGGAAATTTGTTCCACGGCAGGCGAGCAAGGGCGAGACAAATGCATTTACAGAGAGAGAGAGAGAGAGAGTCATGGCATCACATCTGGCCAAGTCGCTCTCCCACTGGCTTGAGTAACTCAATTCAAACCCAAATCAATTCAGAACTACTTTTATCTGTAAAAAATGATGTGTGTTTCTGCAAAGACAAACTCCCGTTCACTGATGTAGATGACTTGAAATATTTCATGCACATTGAAGGACCATCAAAGAAAACCATGCAGAATCTTCAAACTGTCCTTCTGTGACTACAGCATAATGGCCCACCCTAGTGCAAATTGTTGGCGATGTGTATTGTAAAGTGCCAGGAGTGGGGGTGGTAATGATGCTTTACCTGTAACAGGAAGCTTTTGATGTGAGCTGAGAGCACTCTGTAGAGGTATCAGTGTGATTTGCATTTAAACGGTGGCAAACACAAAGACACACTAATACACACACTCAACAATTACAACCTGTTTCGACTCATTGTGTCTTGGGAACAGTCAGGATGGAGGGACAAACAGTTGTAGATTAGTCAAGTAGATTAAGTTGTCTGACGTTGTAATTTAGACCTGAACGACACGCTCGTGAGCTTGTTTGGGTGAAAACGCAACGTAGGAGTCGAGCGAATAACATGAAGGTTCGGCTAGGAAAAATACCAAAGGGAATTAAAAAAAAAAAAAAAACTCAAATATGTCAAACCACTCTGGAAACAGATGGGGCCGTCCATTATTATCCCAAACTCACAGCAGTAGCCAGCAGATGTGGCAGGAAGGAAGGCCGGGGAAAGAAGACTCTGGAGAGAAATTCAGGCTTTCCCTTCCGTGCATGTATGCCTGGATGATCACATCATCCAGAAATCTACGGTTCTAGCGCTTCACTCCGAGCACTTCATGTAGGTCACACTAGTGAGGCAGACACAGCTGTGGACAGAAATACCCGAGGAGAAGAAGACAGAATGAATGATAACGGAAGAGAGATAGAGAGATCTAGAGAGAGAGAGAGAGAGAGAGCTGTGTGAGGAGAAGAGTTGAGGCAAACATATATTTATATATTAATTACATTTATGAGTCTAAAAATAATGTCTGCGATAACACAGCTGCCTTAAATAGTAAGTAAATCAAATAAATCATCACAGCAGGTGTTTCACTACATACTGTAATACTGTACAGTATATATTTTTACTGTACTGTACAGTAATTATATGCATACAATTGCAGTAATGACACTAATATTATTATTAAATATTATTATATTTTATTTATATATATTATTATTTATCCATGCAGTCATTTGTCTCAATGGCTTTACCCATTTTTTATGTCAACTATTTTTCTTTAAATAGATTTGAAATAATGTGCCCTATCAAACAAGGGAATTCTACAAAAGATAGTTTAGACATGTCTAATTAATTAAGAATAACTGTATCTGCACACACATATCTGTGGCCTACTTACAATAACTATGTGACCTACTTATGGGTCACGAGTAACCGTTTGAGAAACACTGCTCTGAAAACACACATACACGCAGTAAACCACAATTCTTTGACTTCCCACGATGGTTATTTGTCTACTACAGTGTTCATACAATAATGTACAGTACAACTGGTAATTATTGGTGAAATATATGAGAACAAAATCCAAACCACCGTAGCAGTGATCTGTGCCTCGTTCATATGAATCTCTGTTTTTTTAAAGACCATACAGCAATAACTGACTGACAATAACTGACTGACACTTTTTGGTACAACCAAATGTACAATATAAAAAAACAACAACAATGAAGACTATAGGCTATATTTGGAATGTACCTGGATAAATAAATATTTTTATTTTCCCTGTTAAATCGAATCCTAATATGAAGCCGTACTGGCTGCAGTGGTGATAGTGGGGCAACTGTTAACCTTTGACTGGTTAAAAGCCCCAAGCTGAGGCGGGAGAGGGGGGAGGTAATGGAGGTCTCACATACACGCGTGCGCGCACGCACGCACGAGCGCGCGCACACACACACACTGGGATGTCAGAAAACAAAGGAAATTCACACTCATTTCCTCCGTGTGGTTTCGGTACAAATCAACAACATCCTGTCCTTTTGTGAATCCTGCCTGCCCTCATGCTGGTTTGCGTTTCAGAGGAGGCGGCGTCTCCTCTGTGTGTGTGTTTTTTTTAACACTGCCATGGAAGCCTGAAGACATACCTCACATTGTTGCAGAGGAAGGAAGGACACGTCCTTGTTAGAAGGGCATTATTTATTCTGATGGGGGGGAGTGGGGGCTCAAGACGTGTGACGTCAGAAATGAACACCTGGATTGATTCATTACACTGTTGAATCGACACGAATCCATATTTCTTTCATCATTTTGTGTTTTGCATGGTTTATACCTTTTTAAATGGACTTCGCTTCGACCTCAAAAAGACAACAATAATGGAGATTGCAGAACTAAAGCCATGTTCAGCACACCAGGATCGGCCCACTCACTTCTGCTCTGGGGTTTACTTTTAGCATGTAGGAGGAAGAGCGCAGTGCATGAATAAATAAATGAAAAAGCTAAAGCAGAGAGAGAGAGGAGACTCTTTATGTAAATCAGGCCTGACATTGCCCTTGTGACAATGAAAGCCATCCCTTCTCTCCCTCTCTCTGTCTCTAACGCACGCATATGCCTCATTCGCCATTTCTTCCCCATTCATAAAAATCTTGGTATCGCGCCTGCGCAATGTTATTCTGAGTCCTCCCCATTCATAAAAATGTAACCTCCGCATTTCGGCCCTCCCATTCACAAAAAAGAGAGGAAAAAAAGAAGCGCAGGCATCTGCGCAGTGCCGTCCCTTTCCTTCCCTTTACCCTCCCATTCATAAAAACCTCACTTCCCTCCCCCTCGGTGGTTGCAACATCATACCCAAAGCTCTGCGTCCACAACTGCAGTCGCATTTTACGCACCAGCGAGTGGAGCTCAGTGCTGGAGGTTTGCTCTCCTGTCGCCTACACCTTCCTGTGTAAATTATTTCCCCCCGCAACGTTTATTCGGACTAATTTTTTTCCCCTCTACACTGCTGGAGCTACTCACTCCTGCGCGCTGACTGGACTATAACCTGCGCTCAAACGTGGTGCGCAACGAAGAGAATGAGAATTTTATCCTGAAACCACAGTAAGTGATCGCCTCTTGTTTATGTCTATGTTATGTTTATCTTATTATGTCTATACCTCAGGATCCCTTGGCTGCACACGCAGATCCACTGTTCCCGATCCTAGGGAGCGACTAACGCGCCTGCAAATTCTATTTTGCAACAAGCTGCGTTTCCCAGACCGTGTTTGCACACGGTCAATATTTAACCACCGATTTCCGACTAAAGCAGGTCTGAAGGCGCAGCAAGGAGGAAAACGGCGTTGAACGCGCAACTTGTCTGCTGACGGTTCTGGATTTCGATTTTTCTGTTTGTGTCGTCCTTTAGAGTCCGCGTCGATTATAAAAAAGCAACAACAAAAAAGCCGCTCAGCAGACATCCGATCTGTCATCTTCTGTGTCCATTACATGTTGTTAATCTCGGGAGATTCGGTTGCACGTCTCGTCTCCCCAGTCTGCACACCGTGTCGGATGTGTCAGGTGTTTCTGTAATATGGACCGTTTTAGTATTCCAACTGTGTTATTCCAAATATATTACAGCTTTTACCTTAAATATGCCTTTTTTTGGGGGGGGAGAGGGGGGGGTGTTGTTTATATATTTTTTTATCGTTCGTGGATAACATCCGGCGCTGCGCACCAAATTACGCACTCGCGGTCGACCTCGAAGCCTGGCAGTTGCGTTGACGGCACACGATGTACTGTTTGGTTAATCTCCAGTTATGATAAAGGGTGTTAAACACATTATATAATCGAGCGTCCGCCTCCGGGTTTTTATGACTCAGTTCATTCACATATTGAAGGGAGGGTCGCGCGCGCTCACGCACGCACACACGCAGTTCCGACTTTGAGCTCATAATGGTCGGGATTTGACCAACACAAGAGCCCGGCGGTGCCAGTGATGTCGCAACAGGTTTCACAACCAGGGGTTTGTTGGGGATGTGAGAAGAAAGGTTATAAATTATTTGGTAGAATATATACCTAAACAAAGGACAGCAGTGGAGGCCACCACCACCCTTTAATGGTCACAGACAATCAGCACAGAGCAACACGTCTATATGTTTTTAAAAAAACCAAACAAATAAAGTGTTTTCCGTCCCCAAAAGACCGCAATTAACACACTGCATGAGAACAAAGCGGGGGGTTGTACCAGCCAGAGCGTTCAGATGTGGATCACAAATGTGTTGTATTCAAACATTTAAATTAAAATTCTAAAATAAAAATAAAATCCGTAAATTTTTCAATGTTGCAAAAAAAAGAATAAATTAAAAAAAGTCACCGCGGAAACGGGTGAAGCCGACTTCATTCAGCGTCTTCGTGACTGGGACGCACCGATTCATGCTTGTAGCCATGCGCCTTCATTCACAAAAAACAGCAATTCATTAAACGGGGTTCATTCACAAATCCCACGCTTGGCCTTTTTATCTACTGCGTTTTTCTGTTAAAGGATAATTAACAGATAGTGCTTTTTTACATGCCTATAGAAGATGATAATATAATATAAACTATATTTCTGATGGTTATTTAAATGCAAAGACTCGTACATTTTTGTCCTTAGCTTTGGATTTGAATGCGTCTCTCTCCAGCCTACCCTGTTCCCTTTCTTTTTCTCTCCTGTCTTGTTTGCATCTTTAAGTATTTTGCATGCAAGACCTGCTCTCTGGTACTTTGTGAGGAAAAGCAACAAGGCTCCAACTTCTATTCTTCTAATGTCAAAGTTAGAAAGGAGGAGGTCTGAAACCCTGTTGGTATTCAGTCTAAATATCAAGATCATGTGGAAACAGAAAATCCTCCGCAGGAACATTCTGGTTTAAAAATGAAATGTCCGTTTTATATGTTGACTACGTGTTGTTTTGACCTCGCAGGTCCGTTCACAAAGTCACTGTATGTTTTATCGTCATCCGCCTTGGGTCATGTGGCTTAGCAATTTGTTCAGTTATGAGCTAACGCTGTGATTACTCATCAAGCTGAGGCGACGTAAACGTAGCAGCATCGTCAAAGTAGACGGTGGGTGAACGGAAAGATACTCCAAAGTATGCACACGCATATGCTTCAAATCAAATCAAAACTAAATATAGGATTCACCCTCTACCAGTACACTGGATCAGATTAAAGAAAAATGGAAAGGGGATGTGGACATATGGACTGCATTAAGATTGCTTATCCTTTTTCCTTCTCGTCTTCTTTGTCTCCTCTTTACCTTTTAATGCTCATTATTACATGGAAATACATTGACATATTTATAAGATAAGACTTGACAGGGTTAAAGATCTGAGTCATTGCTTTTGTGTTTCTTGCTTTTTACAGTACACCTAAATGCTGCTTTAAAGTGTCGACGTGCGAGGCACCAGCCTACACATGGAGTCCAGGGTTCCCCACCACATCCCCGGAGTGTCCTCCTCCCTCATATCCCAGCCCTTGTTGGACAGCCGAGTACCTTATGGGCGTCTGCAGCACCCCCTTACCATCTACCCCATCGACCAGATTAAGTCCTCACACGTGGCCAACGACTACATCGACAGCCCCACTGTCGTCTCGCAGCAGCCCCCGAGCCAGAAGGCTGCAAACCGCAGAATTACATGGCTGGGCCAGAACCAAGAGGGTTTCCTGGGGGCGAACAACAACCATCATCACAATCACCAACACCAGCACCACCAGCAGGGCAGGTGTGATCCTCACCCACAACAGGACACCACCACCCACCCTTGGATTTCGTTCAGTGGGAGGCCCAGCTCCATCAGCAGCAGCAGCAGTACGTCCTCTGACCAGAGACTGCTGGACCATGCTGCACCCACTCCAACTGTGGACCATCATCTAAACCTGCACCCCCACCAGGGGCCCCTGAACACAATCAGTGCCCGAAGTCCAGCCAGCTTGACTTCCTCTGAAACTAAAGTCCTCACCTCCTCCTCCTCCGCTTCCTCCTGCTCCTCCTTCAAATCGATGGACCTAAAGGCTGCAAAGATGTCAGCAGGAGGCGTGTGCCCCACCGGTGGCCAGCAAAGGGTGGCGGTGATCCCTTCCTCCCCGGCCGAGAAGAAGCACCTCCTTCTCTGTGAGCACTGCGGAAAGTGCCGCTGCACAGAGTGTACGCTTCCCAGAACCCTGCCCTCCTGCTGGGTGTGTAACCAGGAGTGCCTGTGCTCTGCCCAGAACCTGGTGGATGCAGCCACCTGCATGTGCCTGGTCAAAGGCATCTTCTACCACTGTACTGAGGATGAGGATGATGAGGGCTCCTGTGCCGACAAGCCCTGCTCATGCTCCCAGGCTAACTGCTGCGCACGCTGGTCCTTCATGGCCGCTCTTTCTCTCGTTCTGCCATGTCTGGTCTGCTATCTCCCAGCCACGGGCATGGCCAAACTCGGACAGAAGTGTTATGATAACGTTAGCAGGCCCGGCTGCCGCTGCAGGAACTTGCAGGGTGGCATAAGTGTCCCTGTGTGTAAAAATACAGGTGCAGAGTCCAAAGTGGGGACACAAGAGAAGAAGCAGCAGCAGCAGCAGCAGCCGCAGCAGCCGCAGCAGCAGCAGGGGGCATGATACTGGACCAAACAAGCTGCTCGTTCTGCCATGTCTGGTCTGCTATCTCCCAGCCACGGGCATGGCCAAACTCGGACAGAAGTGTTATGATAACGTTAGCAGGCCCGGCTGCCGCTGCAGGAACTTGCAGGGTGGCATAAGTGTCCCTGTGTGTAAAAATACAGGTGCAGAGTCCAAAGTGGGGACACAAGAGAAGAAGCAGCAGCAGCAGCAGCCGCAGCAGCCGCAGCAGCCGCAGCAGCAGCAGGGGGCATGATACTGGACCAAACAGGCTGGCAATGACCTTGCAAAATATGGACAAGACCACATTGTCTCACTCTGTAAGGATAGGACAATCCAACGCCGACCCCTTAAACTACCACATTAATCTGCTGGAAGATGACTTATGTAAAACAAAGGTACTTAAAAATGGCTTTTCGACCTGTGTTTGAGAGGGTGGTTAACACGTTGGGCCTGATCCAAGAGCTGGCTACAGTAGAAATAGCTAACAGGCCCTCTGAGATGTTTTTAAAACATTTTTTTCTTAGAGGGACACAAGAAGAAGAGACAAGATTGTGGGACTTGTATTTGTGTTGTGCAAATATGACTAAAGGCACAAAATTATTGTACCTCTCTGCTGCTCTGTATTTCTCAGCTAAAGTTGTGTTGGTAACTAACCCGATGCTGGTTGCTGATCCTTGGATAACATTCAAGTTATGTGACGGAGTGGTGGATCTGTGCAACCCTCGCTTCCCCAAAGTACGACCCTGTTCCCCTCTTCTAGAACAAACGATAACACATCCTGCGGCTTCATGATAAGCCGATTCAAAGATGAAACCATCACTTACTCTCTCTCTGCTATTGTCACGATGACTATCTCCTAGCATCACTATTGTCCCTCTTCCACTTGAAAAACAATAGCTCGGTATTTCTAGCATCTGATCTTCATGAAAGGTCCATGAAAAACCCACCGTTTCGGGTAATTTCCTGTTGTTCTTGCTCTGTACCGTTCAGTGATACAGACAGTGAGGAAGAGAGAGGGTTGTCGCTTCGCAGCATTTTAAAGGGTGAAGCACAGACATTCGGAAAGATTCTGAATGCCGTTAGCCAATCACCTCAGAGGTAATGCATGTCACGATCTGCATGCTCTAGTGTAAAGGTTACCCACCATGCTAGAAGTCGATGTGTCGTAGAGAAAATGTTTAAAAATGTACACCCAACCTTCTCAGGGACTGTTACTGAAATCCTCTCTAGAACTTGGCGTACTGCATGTGGATTTTGAAACTGCCTGGTCTGCTTCCTCTTTGCATAAGTCGGCAAAGAAACCCTTTTGGGGGGCAAAAAAGGCAATACTGAACAATGTTATACAAGTAAGCTAACCTGAACTGGCCAGAAAAATGATGCTTGAGGAGGAGAGGGGATAGAGAGGGATGAATCAGGGGAGAAGGGATAACAAATGTCTTCGTAATTGTGTTTCTATCGGTTCAGCCTTTTGTCAAAGTCAAACCTGCCACTTGCACAACCTTTTTAGGAGAACCAACACCCCCTTAAAGGATGTACTAAAGCACAGTATTAACCACCTCAGCTATCTCACATTACAGTGGAGTGTACCACCTTAAGCCCACGCACCCCAGCCTCCCTGCACACGAGTAGTGTCTTCATTCGATTTCCTATTATTACGCTGCATAGCTGCATTAGTCAGATAAGTCTATCTTTTATCCTCAAAAGTCTATTTTTGTGGCTTGCATGATAGTCTTAGGACTTTGCCAAAGGATGCTAGCATACAGTAGCATGTTTTCACCGTCTGAGTGATCACACTTGTAATGCACTCGTTGCCATTAGGAGTCGACGGCAGAGGCACGTTGCCCTTCAGTACAGACGGCCTTCTCCGTCCGGTATTAGGGCTCTAGACTCTGTACCACACGGCTCTCCTTCACGTTGCACCCTTAACTTCCATTAAGGTGTCAAATTTTTTGCTCATAACCACAATTGTCTCGTTGCACAAAGTCGTTACCACAGAGGGGAAAAAAGGAAAAGAAAAAAAAAAATAGACACACTGTCCTTAGTCTTGAATGTATGAGGCAATATTTTCAAAACCTAGCAATTCAGTCTAAAGAGAAAGGTGCCAAACTAAAGAATGAATGTGAGACTGGGCGAAGGCCCAGTAGGTGTCAGTTGGCAGCGAAAATCACAAATGTTTTGACAATATATTTAGTAATAGAGCTATGCAGGTGAAATGTTATTTGCTGTAAATAGTTTCACAACATTTGTGTTCTTTAGAAGAAACTTTTAAATGTCCTTGAAAGATTGCATGGTACATTATAACTACAATTATGTACAAATATATAGAGAATATATTAGATATATATATATATATATATATATATATATATATAAATATATTTTGAGGGTAAGATAAAGATGTTTTCGAGGTGCGAGTTAGAAGAAGTGTGGTGAGTGGAAGGTTTATGGAGGGGAGCAACAATATGACTGGTCTTTCCGATCACTAGCACTTGATTTAGCGAAGTGTACCCAGTGATTCAAAATAGCAGCAACAATCCTGCTGTTTTTGCTATCCGTGGCTCATTAGTAGTCAAGGGGCTAAGCTAATTCCTTGGTTCCTTTTTTTGAGTCCCAGAGACTGTGGGCTCATTGAATCCACACAGGGAACACAATCTACCCCTATCCGGATCAACCCATTTCCTGCTGTTACTGCTCAGTGTCTCAGCCTTCTTTTTTCTCTCCCTCGCTTTTTACCCTCCTCTCCCTTCCTCGGGTCCCTCTTCTTCCCTCTTTCCTCCCTGAGAAATTGTCCAACAACAACCCCTGGCCTTGATTGACAAACACAGCTGCTGTGCATAAACGTGTCATACCGCAAAGGCGGGAGAAAAGAGAGACAAGTCTGTTCCTCTCTTTCACCCTCTTCCTCGCTGCTTTCAGCCTGCCTTTGTTTTGTTTTGGTTTTCTTTCGTTTTTTTTTTTTAATCTCAAATTGTGTTCGTGTCATCTACTTTTTTCAACACTTTGGTTTTAATTCCTCAGATATGTCACTACAAGTGCAGTTCTGGCCACTTCATAACAGATTTATGCTTTTTCATGTGTCCACAAGCCTGATCAGGGTGTGGAACCTCACCAACAAATCAGTGATGACAACATTTTTTTTTATTTTATTGTGTTTTTTTATGTTTTGCCACAAACACTTTTCTGTTAACACATTCACAGCAACAGATTTTTTTTCTTTCTTTTTTTTTACCCCCCTCTATTTCAAACCGGAACACGAGGCTTAGTCTCATACAGCTGGGTGATGCTACTTCAATTCTTAATGCCTCTGCAAGGTCAACGTTGGAGATGGAGAAGCGAGATCTGTGCTTTTGTTTTGTTTAGATATAACAAAAAAAAGAAGAAAAACATCTCTCATATAAAAGGTTCCCTTTATAGATATATTTATTTTGAAGTTCTATTTTATATAGTATTTATTTAGATGCCAACCTTTTGTTTGTGAAGAAAGCTTATGTCAAAATGGAATGTACATTGACAATGGAAATATATATTGTTAAATATACTGCACTGGCTCCTGTGTCGTTACTCACCAATCAGAGACACACACACACACACACACACACAATTTACATGATGAAACAATACAACAACAAATAAGACCTAGACCCAGTACAATCGTGTATCAAACTGAAACACAGTTTTAGTTCAAACACAAGTCTAAATGTATAAATAAAGAAAAAATACATGAAATAATTTAGTCAATTTGTCGTACAAATGGAAATGAACTTAATGAGAATGTCAGTAAATACTACACATTATTGTAAAAGTTATTAATTTGAAAGATAAAGATAAAATCTAATTTTATAATATATACATTTGAAACATACTTCAACTTTGATGACTGTGTTTGAACTAAACAAAAATTATCTTGTCCCAGTTTCAGTTCCCAACCCAGGGTTTGAGAATGACTGACGCAGAACCAATCACATCATACATAGCTTATACATAGCCATAAAATGTATTAAATAATTGTATTGAAATGATAATATAACACTGAATACTGCAGTAATATGCACCTTAACTGCATCCTATTTCCAGTCAC